GGGTGAGGGTTTCCTTCACATGTGTGCAGTTGCAGCAGGTGCCTTGCAGGAGTGAGGGTGGCTGCCCCCCGTCCCACCTTCCTGGGGTCTGTACTTCTGTCTGTGTGTCTGTCTGTCTGTGCCCATCCCACACCCACCCTGCCGTGCGCAGGGTCCCTCAGGGTGTGTGGCACAGGACCCTTGCCGATACCCTGTCTGTCTTTATTAGCCACTGTACAACGGGGACGGTGATGCCAAATAAAACCGTGATGGGATCCAGTGGTGTGGCTGTGTTCAGGGGTCTGTCCCGGGTGATGGGGCTGGGGGTCATGGTGGGAGTCACGATGCAGGGTCTGTGGCCACTCAGCGCAGCAGCCCCAGCACGGCCAGGGCAGCGCTCTGCCCGCAGACGAAGGTGCCGCCAAGCACAGAGAGGACACCCCAAGCGATGAGAGCAGCCCTGTGGTGACACAAGCAGAGACCTGCTGGGACAGAGCTGACCCCCAGTAACAGGCCACCCCTGTACCCCAGCTCCCCTGGGTGTGGGGCTCTCTATGGGGTCTCAGCCTCCTCTGCCATGCTCCTCTGCATTTCTCCCAGTGGATGGCTGAACAGCCACTCTGGCTCAACCCCAATGTCCACTGCAACGACACACAAAACCTGGTCAAAAGCCTAGCAGATGCCACCATGAGATCATTCCCAGCTGTGCCTGTGCCCAGTGGCCCCTTGAGGGAGCACAGACACATCCACCCTGTGCTTGGGCTCCCACATACCCCCTGCCACATGCTTCCACCCCTGCCTCCATCCCGGCTCCATCCCCAGTCCCATGGGTCTGCACCTCCCTGTTTCCCCTCTCCCCAGGCACACAGTCCTCCACCTCAGCCAGATACTAAGCCCCTGGGACACAGCACTCACCACCAAACTCTGCTGCTGCTCTGTCGCAGAGTTGTTTTCACCGTGCTCCTTCCTGAACTGCCCCAGGCAGGCTGGGACTGTCCCCTCACAGTCTCCATTGCCCCAGCTCATGTTGTCCCCTCTCCTCATGCTCTGGCAAGTCTCGCCAAGGGACATGTCCAAGACCTTGTCACCCACCTGGGTGCTCCTTGCTTGCCTCGCTCATCCTTCTAGCACTTTGGCACCCAAGGGGGAATGGTCACTCCTGGCCAGACAGCCACGGACCCCCCCCAGACACGCTCTTGACCAAGACCCCAGTGCCCTCGGGAGATGTCTCCACCTGCCATGGGGGACAGGACCCACCAACATAACCTTCATCCTCACTTGAACTCTGCTGCTCCCCCAGGGGCACCACAGATACATACACTTAAGTGCACACAGAGTGAACAACTGATCCAGCCTTGGCACCATGTATCTCTGCCCCCCAACCTGACAGCTCCACCCCAGCCCCCAGCAGGTGCCCCAGTGCCACCAAACCACACAGCTCTTCTGTCATATAAGTACCTGGGCACACCCCCAACACCCAAACACAACCTGGGCATAACCCCATTGCCTGGGCACACCCATGGTATCCAGGCACATCCCCAGTGTCTGACACCTCCCAGACACCTGGGTACATTCCTGACACTCAGGCACAGCCCCAATATCCAGGCACAGCTCCAGTAGAGCACTTCCCTCCATACCTAAATCCCTGTGCCCAGGTTGACCCCCCAAGTTTCTGCCTGGGCCATGGCTCATGGGATGCCACACTCTTCCCCTGCCCCTTCCCTTGGTCCCCACTGCTGCCGCGCGCGCAGACACTCACTTTTTGCGTGGCCCGAGGCTGTGGGTCCCTGTCATGCACACCAGGCACAGCCCTGCTGTCAATGCAGAAGCTCAGCTCCACTGCCATGGTACCCTTCACCCAGCCCCACTGCAGTGTTCCCCACAAGCACAGCCCTGCACCCCCAAAACAGGGGCAGGACAGGCCACCTACCACTGCAGTGATGCTCTTGGCACCGGCAACCTCCCTCTCCTCCCTCCCACTGCTCACTCTTGCCTGGGAAGATGAAGATGAAGAAGGCACTGATGCCCCCGATGAGCTCGATGACTTTGCCGATGTCGGGGACGAACAGGGCGATGGCGAGAGTTGCTGCCATCCAGGTGACTGTCAGTGCCACTCGGCTCCGCTGCTCATGTGCCTCAGACACGGCCATGGCTCTGCGCTTGGGGGTTGCACACAAGTCCTTCACCACCGATCTGGGAGAGGGGATCAGGGCTGATGGCACCCAGAGGAGCTGCACTGGCCAGGGAGGACAACCAGCTGGCCACAGCGACCTCACCTGCCCAGCAGCACCACGATGGGGTAAATGGTGACAATGGAGACACCGAAGAGCAGGCGGGCGACGATGACAATTGGGTCATTCCCTGGGTAGGACATCAGGACATCAGATGCCACAGCGTCGCCAAAGGTCAGGTAGCCATAGACTCCTGCTGACAGGAAGGGAGGGGTGGGTGGCTGTGCCAGTGAACTGGACAGAGGAGGCCTGAGGAGGATGGATGAGCCATGGGGAGGGGACCCTTGGGGAAAGGAGGAGGTGAAGGGTTCGGTGTTGGGGTTACCAGTGAGGGAGTAGATGAGCAGGCAGATGAGCATGGAGAGCACAGAGACGGTGACCCAGTGGGAGAAGCTCTGGTTGCGCATGCTGCTGTAGATGGCCACACATGCCTCGTGGCACTGCAAGGCAAGGGGGGATGGCACTGGGGCACCATGCAGGAACAACCCCCACCACCAGCATCCGTCCTCCCACCTGTGGGTGCCCTGCCCTGCTCTGCTCTCCCACCTGTGGGTGCCCCAATCTCCAGGGGCTTGTATTCTGCCCCACAGTCACCTCTGGTGACAACCAGGTCCCCTTCCCTGCAACCTCCCTCTCAAGGGACAGTGTCCCCATGGTCTGGGATGCCACAGGAGGCTGCCAGCACTGCCCTGGCAGCTGGGGCCAGGAGGACCAAGGTAACCTACCTGGAAGCCAAAGCAAATGGTGGGAATGACACTGAAGACAGAGGCCCAGGAGGAGGACCTGTGACATGTTGGAAGGAAGCAGGGCAAAGGGCTTGAGACTCACAAAAGCAGTGGGAACCTTGGCAGCATAAATTGTGCAGCCTGGATGCCACCATGGAAACTTCTTGCCCAGAGATTCTGGGAGAAAGGAGGATTGCTGGCATGCAAGCTGGGGCTGGGAGCTGCCACCCGACTACCACTACTGTGAGCTATCCCCAGCTTACACACATACCCACACACCCACACCCACACCAAGCCCAGGGCCACCCCTGCACTGCCTCCAGCCCTGCCCATGCCAGGAAGATGGGGGCAGGAGGGACATGGGACTGATCCCCTTACCTGGAGGGCTGGGGTGGTTCGGTCAAGCTCAGGTTCTCTGCCTGCAGGTGGTATTTCAGGATGATGACGAGAGTGAGGTAGCAGGCTGCCAGTGTGCCCAGGATGCTGCCAGGGCATGGGAGACCATCAGCACACAGCTGGGAGGAAGGGAGGGGAGGTCCCACGGCCCCACAGGTTCCCAGGAGGAGATGACCTGGGGTACAGGGTACACAGGAGTGGGCCACCACAGGGATGGCCCAGGTCATACCTGGAATACTTCTGGAAGCCAATCTCTCTGGGGACGGAGAGTGGGAAGATGATGAGGACACAGAGAGCCGAGAGGGTGAAGCGCTGGTCCACGTACCAGGGGGGCAGCTGGGGCGCCCCGCTCAGTGTCCCGTTGAGGTACAGGGAGTCACACACTGTGAGGGGCAGTGGAGGGTCAGCTGTGCCCTGAAACATGGCCCAAGAGGGTCGGGAGCATCACACCACGGCAGGACCAGGGAGCCCCATGCCCTCAGAATCCCCAAGAAAAGCCTGGGGCTCACCCCAGCCCATGTGGGACCACCTTCCCCTCACTCCCGAGAGCTGCTATAGCCCCAAGCAAGCCCCAAACACTTTGGATGGAAACAACTCACGTTTCTCCAGCTGGTCACCCACGACTCTGAGGAGGGCCACGGAGATCATGAAGAGGTTGAGGAGGAAGCAAACCTCACAGAGCTTCCCTGCTGCTGCCCCACACACCGCCCGTACCACCCCCTGGTAGGTGGGCTGGGTGCTGAGGGCTGCTGCATAGCCCAGCACCACCAGCCCACTCACCAGGAAGACCAGTGAGCCCTGCAGGGACAGAATCCAGCAAGAAGCATCATGCTGACCCTCTGTCACAGATGGGGTGGGTGGACACCCAGCCCACAACATCACCAGCCAAGTTGCCTTGTGGCCCTGGGTACCACAGGTCAGCAAAAGTATGGAGATACAGCCCTATGTGATCCTTTGGGTTTAGATTTGGGGGTTTGAGGTATAGAATCATAGAATAGAATCATAGAATCAACCAGGTTGGAAGAGACCTCAGAGCTCATCGAGTCCAACCCTACTGTGGTTACTAGCCCATGGCACTAAGTGCCACATCCAGTCTCGGCTTGAAAACCCCCAGGGACGGTGAATACACCACCTGCCTGGGCAGCACATTCCAATGTCTGATCACCCTCTGTAAAAAAAAAAAATCTCTTCCTAATATCCAACCTAACCCTTCCCTGGCAGAGCTTGAGTCTGTGCCCTCTTGTCCTGCTGCTGGTTGCCTGGGAGAAGAGACCAACCCCCACCTGACTCCAACCTCCTGTCAGGGAGTTGCAGAGGGTGATAAGGTCTCCCCTGAGCCTCCTCCAGGCTGAACAATCCTAACTCCCTTAGCATATAACGGAGCAGACACACGTTTTACTTTAGGCTGAGCTGCAACCCCCAAGGCGGCACCACCTGCCGGACCCTGCCCTAGCTGAGGTTGGGACGAGGATGCCCTGCCAGCTCCCCGAGCACCAGGTGAACCATCCCCGACATCCCTTCCCCGCCCGACGCCCTCGCCCCGT